TAATGCGGCCAAACCCCAAACACAAATTTAGGAGATGATGTTGTCTAGCCATCATCAGCCTTGTCAGTGAGCCACCAGTCTGTATAATATAATTCAGATCGACAGACCAACCGATGTTTCAAAACACATGATTAAGTACGCGCTTCGTTGCGACTTGACAAACCTAACGTTGTGATGATGGAGAGTCGGAATTGTACATTAATGTACAACTTGTATTAATATTAATCGTTGGGAATTGGTAGCTTCTTATTAATTACAGAGCGACGAGGGATAACATTAGATCGCGTGTTCAGAGTACTCGTCGCAGTCGTGCCGTTGCAATGCAGTGTCAGACGTGTCCAATCATGAATTACATCAATGTTCCATTTCATCTAGGCGCGACTCAAATCCCGCGTTCGAATGATTCTCCAAATGGTATGCTCAAACAATCCATCAATACAAGTGTCCGATTCGAGAGATTAAAGTTAAGTAAAATAACCCGGAAGAAATGTCTCGGGATTTCCTATTTTATTGTCATCTAGATCATCTTCGATTGAGATATAATACTTTGTGTTAAAAAAGAAAAATACATATCACAGACTTAAACATTATAATTCTTACAGAGTCGCGTTCATATCTTCGTTTGCTTACAGCAGTGTAATTGAACACCCTAAAGCCAGTGAACCAACTACGTGGACAAATGTGACATATGAATAAATGAGACTACGTAAATGTTTCAGACCCGATGGACATTGAAGTGGGCATACTCACAAGCACCTTATTGTACCGTTTCACTACCAAAACCGATCAGAGCCAATACGCGTCATCGGAAATCAAGTTCCTACAGCATCGGGAGGTATTAATCGCCTGAGTGAATGATATAGGCTCAAGAGACCAAAAGGAAGAAGAAGAATGATACCTATCAGGACTCTGCCGTTGAGTGTTACTCGATCTTATTGTTTTATACGTAGACCCGACTAAATGCTCGTTCAGTAAAGAAATCCTCTGGTTCCTACTTGTTATAAACCAGAGAGGGGTATAGTCAGCATCCATTCAAATATTCTCAAAGCGACTACTGTCCTAACAATACTTACTCGTCGCAGATGAATGTACTAACACGCGTTGATCATATAACGCGCCGCCTAATTCTATTATGTCGAAACCTTTTGTCGACGTCATAAACGCATCAGATGGATAAGCACTCTAGAGATGTATATGACATTGAGTTTGACGATGCATACATGATCCGGGCGGTTAGAGAATACGATGAATTGGTGGAGAATTTGAAAAGGAGACTGGATTTAATAAAAAAAAAGATCGTTCTTGTGGTTAGCAGGGAATTTCCGGGAGTTGGTGAATATGAGGATGAAGTGGAAAAGAGGAAAAGAGCATGCGAGAAAGAGAGAGAGGTGTTTGTGCATTT